TAGGCGAGGGGTGACGGGACCGCGGGGTCGACGGGCTAGGGGCCGCGGGGCCGGGGTCTAGGCGAGGGGCGACGGGGCCGCTGGGCCAGTGGCGACGAGGGCCGAGGGGCCTAGGGGTCGCGGGGGCCGAGGGGCCGTGGGGTCGACGGGCGACGGGGCCGCGGGGCCGGGGCCTAGGCGAGGGGTGACGGGGCCGCGGGGCCAGTGGCGACGAGGGCCGAGGGGCCTAGGGGTCGCGGGGCCAGACGCGACGAGGGCCGAGGGGGCCGTGGGGTCGACGGGCGACGGGGCCGCGAGGCCGGGGCCTAGGCGAGGGGCGACGGGGCCGTGGGGTCGACGGGCGACGGGGCCGCGGGGCCGGGGCCTAGGCGAGGGGTGACGGGGCCGCGGGGCCAGTGGCGACGAGGGCCGAGGGGCCTAGGGGTCGCGGGGCCGGGGCCTAGGCGAGGGGCGATGGGGCCGCGGGGTCGACGGGCTAGGGGCCGCGGGGCCGGGGCCTAGGCGAGGGGCGACGGGGCCGCGGGGTCGACGGGCGAGGGGCCGCGGGGCCGGGGTCTAGGTGAGGGGCGACGGGGCCACGGGGCCAGTGGCGACGAGGGCCGAGGGGCCTAGGGGTCGCGGGGGGCCGAGGGGCCGTGGGGTCGACGGGCTACGGGCCTAGGGGCGACGTACGCAAGGGGCCGAGCCTAGGGGCTAGGGGCGACGCCAAGGGGCGACGGGCGCGGGCCTAGGCTAGCAGGGCAGCAGGTGGTGGGCCCAATAAAAACCGGTCCTAGGGGACCTGCTCTGAAACCATGTTAGAATGTGTGAACGAGAATGAATGAACTAGCAAAGAGTTGGGTACAAGTACTAACCCTAATTAGGTTGTACCCCTTATGGGCTACCCCACTATAGTTTACACAAATGTAAAAGCTATAATGTTCTGACAAGTACCTAGAACCCTGATTAGAAAGGGTGGCCCAAAACCTATCGAGAGCCCTGCGTGCAAAGCACCAATGTCTAAAAACTACTGCCTCGTAGCCATACGCGGCGCGCGAAATGCCACTTCGTCAATTGTCTTGCCCAGCGATGTGGTACAATAATTCGTGCTGACGAAATTGCTGTTCAAAACAATCAGTCCTCGTTCGTCAACAGGTTGGTCAAGAAGTGCACCCTTCTTGACCAACCTTGGTACAACTTGGTACTGTAGTATCCTAATCATACGGTAATCTGAAGTTTGTTCAAGATGACCGAGTCTTGAACAACTCTTGAACAACTTTGTACTGCGCCCTAAAGGGACCTCGTCATCTCCAGGTGCATTCGCGCATAGGTGTTCAGGCTCGACTTCAAACTTGGTACTCCCAGATTGCAAATTAGAATGGCCAAATACATCGCACATTAGCTTATGGTAAAATGACGAAATTTGTAACCAGCAAAAGGTTCCTTGTTTCTCAAACTAAATTTCAGATGTAACACGCCCTACCAGATTCAAGTTGAGCCTTCAAAAGCAGTATGCGCCAATTTAGAATGAGCAGCCGAGCATGCTGAAGCACCTGAGGTGATTCAAAGTTTGCGTCGGTTTGCGTCGATTCGAAGTTTGCGCCGGTTTAGCACGAGTAGGCGAGCATGCTGAAGCATCTGAGCCGCGTGCGAATCGAGTTCAACGCGTTCGATCGGCGGAACGCGGCGGCGCTGGAGTTCTTGGCGCAATGCAACTCGCAGAAGGCGCGCGATTCGAACCCTAAGTGCGACGTCGCCGTGAAACGACGCACCGACGATCATCCTCCCTTCGTTCAGGTGCGAGATTCTGCGTGAAAACATTCGTTTCGTATAGCTGATGCTAGCGCGGCTGTTTTCCGCTATCTTTTATGGTATCGTCCTCTCCCCCGCGCTTGTTCGTCATCCTCCGCGCTTTAGATATCTCGTGCTCCCCCGTGCCCCCCCCGTGTTCCCCCGTGTTCCCCCGTGTTCAGCCCTGCTCCCCCGTGTTCCAACGTGCCCCCCGGTGTTCCCCCGTCTCCCCCGTGCTCCCCCGTGTTCCCCCCGTGTTCCCCCCGTGTTCCTCCCGTGTCCCCCCTGTGTTTCCCCCGTGTTTCCCTGTGTTCCCCCGTGTTCCCCCTATGTTCCCACGTGCTCACTCGTGTTCCCACGTGCTCACTCGTGTTCCCCCGTGCCCCCCCGTGCTCCCCCGTGCTCCCCCGTATTCCCCCGTGCTCCCCTGTGCGCCCCCGTGCTCCCCCGTGTTCCCCCGGGTCCCTCCGTGTTTCGCCTGGTCCGCGTTTCGACCAACAGGTGTACACTTCACTGATCTCCACCGCTTCCCTCCGCACCACCTCCCTTCAGTGCCTCTTCCCTCCGGCATCCTTAGATTCCAACCCTCATTCTCACTCTTGGATTCGAACCCTCGTTCCCACCCTTACATCCTAACCCTCATTTGCATCCCGCGTTCTCACCCTTACATACTACTAACCCTCATTCTCATCCCTCACTCGTACCCTCATTCTCATCCCTCACTCGTACCCTCATTCTCATCCCTCACTCGTACCCTCATTCGCATCTTGCGTTCTCACCCATACATTCCCTTTCGTCTCATCCACTACTCAGTCACCCAGTCACGCTTCACCACCCTTTTATCCTCCCTATAGGTCACATTCAATAACGGGCAAGAGGAGACCATGGACTGCACTCAGCTGACTGCTCAGGTGAGCTTATCTCTTTTGCGTTTCGTGATGCTCGTCTGCCTGCACTGAGCTTCTTGATCTCTGCACAGCACAGCACAGCACAGCACAGCACAGCACAGCACAGCACTTCATCTCTGGACTGCACAGCACCCCAGTGCACTGCACTTATCAGCACCCGCCTAAATGAGCTTATACCGTATGTTAGAAGTGATATGTCCTTTCTTGGATGCTACCTTTGTGTGTTGCCCCTACACTCTCCTCTCCCGCTCCTTTGCCTTATCCACTTTATGTGCTTACAACGGGAGAAGGATTCGAGGTAGCTCAGAGCCAGATCCGGGAATTGATATTTGTACTTTTCTTTTTTTTAGAGAGTGTAAAGGAGCCTCAAAACGGGAGAGGGAAAGGGATGATGCAGCTGAGGCCAGTTGTGGTCAGCTGGGATCCTTAGACCTGCAACCTTGATCAGTTGAGAATTCTTAACTTTGATCAGTTGAGAATTCTCAAAAAATACCTCCAGCCTTGCTACGCTTCATATCTTTCACAGGGCAGAGGGGTGGAACTCATCTCACCTTCCTCAAGCATCCATTCACTCCTCAAGCTCCTATCCCTGCATTTTCCTCACCGTTTACGCTGTCTTTGTTTCCCTCCCTCCCTCCCTCCCTCCCTCCCTCCCTCCCTCCCTCCCTCCCTCCCTCCCTCCCTCCCTCCCTCCCTCCCTCCCTCCCTCCCTCCCTCCCTCCCCCCCCCCCCTCCCGCCATCAGAGCATCTGCAAGTCCATCTTGCAGCACGCAGACTAGATGGGCACCCAGTGTTGAGCGCTCTCTCATTCGGCTTCTTCCCACCCCCTCCCCCGCCCGGTCTTCTTCCCCACGGCGATCTCCCTCTCTCCATCAGAGCATCCGCAAATCAATCCTCCAGCGAGCAGAGGAGATGGAGACGGAGCAGATGTTCAAGGATGCAGGGCTGCAGTGGCCTGTGGTCATCCCGGATCAAGAGGCATAGCTAGCCCAACGCATGCAGGGGAAGAGAAGATGACCGCAGCGCGAGCAGTCCGTATGCGATGGGGGGTGGGGGATGGGGGATGGAGAAAAGTTGGATGTTTGTAAGATGCAGGGCTGCAGTGGCTTGTGGTGATTCCGGATCAAGAGGCAGAACTGGCCCGCCGCATGCAAGGGAAGAGAAGATGACAGCGAGTAGAGTGAGCACAAGGCAGATACGAGATGACACGCATGGGAAAGGCTGATGCAGCCGAATCGAAATTGAGAGAGAGCGAAGCTGTTGGGCAAAACCGCCGGCTGGCACTGACATGGAGAAAGAGGCAGGAGTCGGCAGGTGGATGTGGAAGAGTACCTAGTGAGGGGCTATCCTCTGGGTGCCTACGTTCTGGGTGAGAAATTGAGAGAGAGCGAAGCTGTTGGGCAAAACCGACGGCTGGCACTGAAACGGAGAAAGAGGCAGCAGTCGGCAGGTGGATGTGGAAGAGTACCTAATGAGGGGCTGTCAAATGTTTCTAACTGGTTGTCCTCTGGGTGCCTATGTTCTGGGTGGGAGATTGTCCTCACTAATCAGGGGTTCTCTACAAGCCTCCGTACCGTCAGTACATTCAAGATACCGAAGCAACACTGAATAGAAGTTGAGCAAATGTGTGAGCACCCATTTTACCTGCCAGAGCCCATCCCGTTGTATGATGTGTTGCTTTGTTCACAAATCCATGGGCTCGTTTGAGTAGTGTGATGCAATTACAGTACCTACACATGGGCGAAACAGATGTTTTGGGTGTGCCACCTCCAGCAATGCTGCTGCAATCACGGGTCATGACGTACAATCTCACTCTTAGTCTCACTCTTTGTCTTTAGCCATACCTTACTACCACATACCAGTATACAGCAGGGAGTTGGCTCAATGAAGCAAAGAGCGCACTTATCTTGCCTATAACCACACCAGTCCCTCAAAGGTTACGTTACAGCAATGGCAGGCTTCCCGTCCATTCCCTTCCCTCCCATGCAGCGCCGCGTTCATGTAACTTATCTGATACCATATAAATCGTTATAGTACTTCACACAGATTGAGTCATATCATATTATCTCTAGTCTAGACAAAGGCCAGCTCTCCCCGGACCTTCTTCCTCCCCTTCCCCTCTCAATCCTCTTCCAAATTGATAGCGTCTTCCCTCCAGCTGCCTCTCCCCCCCCTCCATCCCCAGCGCCTCCACCTCGCTGCTCGTGCGCTCCCTCAGCGCCTCCAGCTTGCCACACAGCACCACCTTCAGCGCGCCCATCCGATACACAACCATACCCGCTCATCATGCAGCCTACCCCTTGTCCCCTCCTATGATCCTATCAGTCCTCCAAATTAATAGCATCTTTGAACTTCCCATACAGCACCACCTTGAGCGCGCCCATCTGAGCCACGAGGCTGCTCTTCTCCCCCTCCAGCGCCGCCACCTCGCCACTCGTGCGCTCCCCCTCCTGCTCTCCCCAACTTGCCATACAGCACCACCTTCAGCGCGCTTTTTTAATACACAACCATACTCCTTCAAACCACGGCCTCCCCCACCCCTTTCCCTCCCTCCCCCACTTCCCCCCCATCCCCTTATCAATCCTCCTCCAGATTGATGGCATCTTTGAACTTGCCATACAGCACCACCTTCAACTCAGCCATCTGCGCCACGAGGCTGCTCTTCTCCCCCTCCAGTGCCGCCACCTCGCCACTCGTGCGCTCCCTCAGCGCCTCCAGCTGCCCCTCCACATCGTCCTTGTCTGTGTGCAGAAACACCTCCCCCGCCATGTACCGCACCGTGTCGTCGTCGCATAGAATGAGCTCATTGCTGGCGTCTTCAATGTTCTCCAGGTAGTCCTGGCAGGGGGGAGAGCAGACGATGGGGTTGAGACAACACATGCCACATGTGCCTTCTCCCACACCTCCCCCGCCATGTACCGCACCGTGTCATCGCATAGAATTAATTCGTTGCTCGCATCCTCTATGTTCTCCAGGTAGTCCTGGCACAAGGAGGGGGGGAGGGGGGGAGCAAGTACCGCATGAATGCTATGTGCCTCCCCCGCCATGTACTGCACCTTGTCGTCATCACACAGGATTAACTCGTTACTGGCGTCTTCAATGTTCTCCAAGTAGTCCTGGCAGGGAGCAGAGCATAGCAGAACATGGGGTTGAGACAAACACATGAATGAATGCCACATGTGCCTTCCCCCACACCTCCCCCGCCATGCACCGCACCGTGTCATCATTGCATAAAATCAGCTCGTTACTCGCATCCTCTATGTTCTCCAGGTAGTCCTGCCAGGGGGAGAGTGGAGGTGGGGTCGAGACAAACAGGCGAGTCCCACACATGTGCCGACTCGGTGTGTAGAAACATCTCCCCTGCCATGCACCGCACCGTGTCGTCATCGCATAGGATTAACTCGTTGCTGGCGTCCTCTATGTTCTCCAGGTAGTCCTGGCACAAGGGTAGGGGTGGGAGACGAAAATGAGGGGTTGGGAAACACAAGTACGGATGAAGGCCAGGAACACCCCTCTTCCTGCAAAGCCCTCACCACCTCGCCACTCGTGCGCTCCCTCAGCACCTCCAGCTGCCCCTCCACGTCGTCCCTGTCTGTGTGCAGAAACACCTCCCCCGCCATGTACCGCACCGTGTCATCGTCGCATAGGATCAGCTCATTACTCGCGTCCTCTATGTTCTCCAGGTAGTCCTGCCAGGGGAAGGAGCAGTGCACATGGTGGGTAGAGGCAAACACAGCACATGAATGGCAGGAAAACCCCCCCTCCCTCCACATCGTCCTTGTCTGTGTGCAGAAACACCTCCCCTGCCATGTACCGCACCGTGTCGTCATCGCACAGGATTAATTCATTACTGGCGTCCTCTATGTTCTCTAAGTAGTCCTGGCAGGGGGGAGAGCATAAGGTGTGGGGGGAGCGGGGACAAGAACGTGAATGCCAGAAACACCTCCCCCGCCATGTACCGCACCGTGTCGTCAATGTTCTCTAGATAGTCCTGGCAGGGGGGAGAGGGGAGGTGGGAGCGAGGCAGACATGTGAGTCCCACACGTGCCTTTGCCGCTGCGCACCACAGTGCGTCCTGCTCACACAGGGACAAACTCGCTCCCTGCATGCTCCCTGTTCTTCAGATACAGCGGTCAGACGAGAGTGGGGTGGGGTGAACATCAGAGAGTGGGGAGGAATCAAGAAAGTGAAATTGCGACACTCCCGCGGCCATGAAGAAGTGTACAGCAGTGTTGCTCTGTTCATTGCTGAATCGAATGCTGCAGTGCAAGCAACACGACACACAGACACGGAACGCTACTCCCATCCCATCATGTTTCCTCACCTCACCTTCATGCCGCGAATTTCATCGTCCAGCTTATGCAGTCTGCTGCTAATTCCAGTGCTTCAGTCTAGTGACTGTGACACGACACACAGACATGAAAAGCTAGGGACAAAATGGTCCCCATCACATCACCTTCTTGGCAGTATGCCTCGCCTCACCTTCTTGAATTTGATCTCCTCGTCCAGGTCGTGCAGGCGGTTGTTGAGCCCAATGCTGTGGTGCAGTGCAGGAGACTGTGGCACGAGACACAGACACGAGAAGCTAGGCATAGAATGTCCCTTTACCTTCAAGCCTCATATGGCACTCACCTTCTTGGCTTTGATCTCATCATCCAGCTCGTGCAGGCGGTTGCTGAGCCACATGCTGCGGTGCAAATGATTGTGACACGCCATACACACATGAGAAGCTAGTCGTAAGCTCTTCTCCCACCTTCTTGCCTTTGATCTCGTCGTCCAGTTCGTGCAGGCGGTTGTTGAGCCGCCCGAACTTGTTGATGTTCTGCTGGTCCTCCCATGTCACCTCGGGGTCCGCGCCCTCGCCCTGCGCAGTGGGAGATGGAAGGAACCACAGTCAACAACAGTCAACAACAGTCAACAACAGTCAACAACAGTCAACAACAGTCAACAACAGTCAACCGCAATAAAAACACAGAAGAGCCTGCCACCGTATGTTTTGCTGATCTTCCCATGTCACCTCGGGATCCCCACCCTCGCACCGGGCAGAGAGGCTAAGAGATTTCAGCGTAATCAGAATATAATATAAGCACAAGGCTACTGCGGTGCTGGGTGTACACCTCAGCCTTCACCATGACTGCCATTCACCTTCTGAAATGCATCAAATGGCCTGCGGCCTTTTGAATCGACTCAAAAGTCCTTCTGCATTAGTAGTACCTCGAATTGCCTGCGGCCGTGAGTGTGCACTCCTCGACACACGATTTTAAAAAGCTAATTAACTGGTAGAACAAGATCGTAGGGCATGGACATATGGACATCGATGTATACCGCCAAAGCGAATGCGAATTCTAATCGTGATGGCTCGCGTGATTTGCACTACCACGGGCATCAGCTACTACTAGAATCGGACGATCCTATGCCGCGTACCTTCTGCATTATCCAACGCTTCGCTGCTTCTGCCTTTCCGCCGGCTACGGCGCTGCAACAGCGCTAGGAGTGCGGCCGAAGGATCGGCGGCGCTCGCTAGGGAGAGAAAGCGAGCGACTCGCTAGTTGTATGACTGGCACGCCGCTGTTCGCAGCGAAACTGCGATGAGCTGTCGTCGTCGCGACAGGTGACTGGTCGTGGGAACTGCTGACGGAACGAGTGAATCTCGTTTTGACAGACTCTGTAGTTTGCGCTGTTTGCATCGGCGGTCAACCAACTACGTAGTTATGAAGAGAGTGCTAGTGCAGTGAAGGGCTGGCTGGCTACAAGATCTTGGAACTGGGAGCGTTTTGCAACTCTGTCCGCATGTCTAGTGTGTGGGATCAGGTTCACTTTCGGGCAGTCGGGTCAGGTTCGGCGAGAGGAGCGAAACTGAACGGGACCTCCGCATGAAGGGCTACACATTGCGAGGCATGCGAAACGCTGGTGGAGTACACAACGACATACGGGATGAGGGTGAAAATCCATTCGCATTGTGGTTGGTCTAAGTTATTTACCGCACCGGGAAACTGACGCACCCAGTTTTCGACAACCCCTGAGTCCGCATCTCAGGATGACACTCGCCCCGAACTAACGTTCCGAACCTCGACACATCCGACAAAATTCCGCCCTGATTTGCTGCTTTTTTTTCCACGATCATGCCTGCACTTAACTTTTTACTTCACACTCCACACTACGCCTGCGGGATAAGACTACGCACACACAAGCGTGATCCCCTTAGTTTTTCTATGTCATCACGCGTCATACGCCCCGCGTTTACCGCCGGAACCATGGCTTCGCGTGCGGTAGCTTCGCGTCTCGCGCCCTCGCAGGGTTTAACGAGCTCCGCGGGGAATCTAGGCTGGCAGCATTCCTCGCTATGGAGCGATTCGAGACTCGCCAAAGGGTCCGTTCCCGTTCCAGCGGTTCAAGGTATAACCAGTACAGCTTAACAGCAGTACAGTGGAGGAATTAGTAATTAGGGTTTGGAAAGCAGAGAGAGGGTGCTGCGTTGTCATGTTTCGAGTAGAGGGCGTCGTTAAGTGAATTCTCAAAAGAGTCGGTGGGTACTCTCCACCTCCCCGTCTTCACTGCACGGTTCTCAATGCCCCTTCTGCGCTCGTTCTCTCGACGCGGATGCCCTCCTCGTCGGCGTCGGGGTGATTTTTGAGGCGTCTCAAAAATCACCTCAATGCTCCTTCCCCGCCCGTTCCTTCGACGCGGATGCCCCCCGTCGTCGGCGTCGGTGCCGCTCGTTCTCGTCTTCATTTAGCATGTCTCACTTTCCCTTCCTTTCCACGCGGGTCCCGCCATCTCGCGCAATTCCCACCGTCCCGCGCGATCCGCCATCTCGCGCGATTTGCGCAATCCTTCAGCAAGACGTCTTGGCCCGAGGTGATGGGCATGACGGGCGAGGCGGCTCGCGATTACATCCAATCGTCCTTTTTCGCTCATCGTCTTTCTCCTCACCTCCCATTTCCCGCTGCCCCCCTCCTTCCGCCTCCATTCCCCATTCCCCTCCTCCCCCAGCCTCCCCCCATACGCGCAAGCCCGTTGCGCCAGTGGCCATGGCGCGCAAGAAGTCCGGCTTCGCGCAGCTGCTGTCCAAGGGGTACGCGGAGGGCTAGGGCGGAGGGGTAGGGCAGAAGGGGGAGGGTGGAGGGGGAAGGCGGAGGGATAGGGCTTAGGGGTGGGGAATCGGGATGAGAATTAGTGTAGATGATGAAATCATGGGAGCGACATTGCAAAAGGGGAGGCGAACAGAGGGGCGGCGTGAGTACCAAAAACTGCCACCCACGTTCCCACCCGCTCTCCCCCCTGCTGGACCCCCCTGTCCCCCCACTGTTCCCACCCACTGTCCCCTCTGCTACTAAAAATGTTTCCCCTTCCCCTCCCCCTTCTCTGAGTCCGCCCACGTCTCCTTCAGCCCCTTCCAATCCATCCGCCCCCTTGGCATCCCATCCCCTCCCCTCAGCTATCACCTCCCCTTCCCCCACCCTCCTTTGCTCCGCCCACTATCCCCCACACCCGCTATCACTTCCTCTGGTGCTGCTCCCCGTTTCCGCCCTTTCCGTCCCCCCCAGCATGTCAGGCCCGCCAGCAGAGTCGCAGAGGCCCCCCTGAGGCATGGAAAGCTGCCCCCCATGCGCGCAGTGCCCCAAATCCCCCGCCCGCCCTCCACCCCACTCCCGCCCACCACAGCATGTCAGGCCCGCCAGCAGAGTCGCCCCCCAAGGCTCCCCTGAGGCGTGAAAAGCTGTTGTTCCCTTCCCCCCTCCCGCCCAGCACCCCCGACAACCCCCTACGCTGACACTGGTGCTACCACTCCCCACCCTCCCATGCGCCACCCCCCAGCATGTCAGGCCCGCCAGTGGAGTCGCGCCCCAAGGCCTCCTTGATTCCCCGCCAGCGTCTCAGGCGCTGACAGACACTCGTGCTGCTCTGTTCCTCCCCACACCCCACCCCCTCCCCCCCAGCATGACAGGCCCGCCAGTGGAGTCGCGCCCCAAGGCCCCCATGATTCCCCGCTAGCGTCTCAGGCGCTGATACTGCTGCTGCTCTGCTCCCCCTCACACTGCTGCCCCACGCACTCCCTCCTCCCCTCCCTCTCCCCCCCCCCCAGCATGTCAGGCCCGCCAGCAGAGGCGCGCCCCAAGGCCCCCCTGAAGCGCGGAAAGCTCTCCCCCATGCGCACAGTGCCCCCCCACATCCCGCGTCCCCCCTACGCTGACAGCGGAATCTCCCCGCCCTTTACCATGGAACCACAGGTAGTGTGAATGGAACCCTAGGTGTGAGTGTGAGAGAGTGAGAACGAGTGGTGACCCCGGGGAGGCTCCTGTGTGCCTCTCCCAACCCCCCATGTCCCGTGCCCGCCCTACGCTGACAGCGGCATCTCCCCGCCCTTCACCATGGAACCGCAGGTGTGCGCATGGGGGCACAGCACAGGTGCGGTGCGAGAGTGAGAATGAGCGGTTCTGAGGGAAGTGGTTCTGAGTGGCTTTTAGTGGTTCTGAGTGGTAGCTAGCTCCAGGCCAATGGCAGCAGGCAGGCGCTTGTGTGCCTCTCCCATCCCCCCACTTCCCGCACCCGCCCTACGCTGACAGCGGCGTCACCCCTCCCTTTACCATGGAGCCGCAGGTACATGCCGTGTTGTGGTGCGAGCGAGCATGGAGGCACAGCCCATGTCTCTGCTCCCTCCTGCGCTGCCCAGTGCCAGTGCCTCCCCACCCCACCCCACCCCACACTCCAAGGCTGAGTGGCTTTACGACCCACCCTTCTGAGTGGCTTAGAGTGGTTCTGTGCTGCTGGCAGTGGCGGTGGCAGTGGGCGTGTCAGTGGTGATGGTGCCACACTGTGCTGGCACTGGCAGGCAGGAGATGCCATGCGTGAACTCACTAGGAGAGGGCATGGCATCACTCGCACAGGGCATGGCATCACTCGTACAGCGCATGGCATCACTCTCTCGCTCCGCCACACTCGCACGCGCATGACATCACTGCCTGCCACACTCCCTCGTGCCATGTCTCTCTGCCACACTCCCTATTGTCATGTCTCTCTGCCACACTCCCTATTCTCATGTCTCTCTGCCACACTCCCTATTGTCATGTCTCTCCGCCACACTCCCTCATGCCATGTCTCTCTGCCACACTCACTCCTGCCGCCACCACCGCTCTGCCACCCCCTCGCCGCGGGTTGTGGGTGCAACGGGGGGCAGGTGCATGGGGAGGAAGGGCAGCGGCGCATGAGGGAAGCGGGGCAGCTGGCAGCGCGAGTCAGAGACCACGCCGGTACACTCGTCAAGGTGAGTTAGTGGGTATGTGGGTGGGGTTCGGCGTGGATGGAGGTTTGGGTGTGGGTGTGTGGGTGCATGGGGAGGAATGACATAGACGGTGACATAGACGGTGACAGAGGCGAATGACTCAATAAGTGCCGCCCGCCGTATTGTACTCTCTGGGATGGGATCCCCATGTTTGATCATTCTTAAAAGCGCTGATAGCGCAGTGATCATAAAGGGGGGGGGCGTACCACTGCTTGCCTTTCAAGCCCTCACCTCCTCACCTACCCCACCAGGCTTACCAAGTCCGTCCGTGTGCACAGCTGTCTGGGAATGGGCTCTCAACCGCATTTGTCTGCTCTGCCCTCTTCCCCATCCTCACGCGCACAGCCCGGAGTCACCACGGACGAGATCGACCGAGCGGTGCATGAGATGATCATCGAGGCGGGAGCATACCCCTCGCCCCATTCCGTGTGCACTTTTCGTCCGTGCTGCCCCATTTCCTCAGCCCGGCGTGACAACAGACGAGATCGACCGAGCGGTGCATGAGATGATCATCGAGGCGGGAGCATACCCCTCGCCGCTCTCCATGCCCACTCCCTGTGCTGCCCTACCCCCATCTTCTCCCCTTTTTCCCCCGTCCCTCCAGCCCGGAGTCACAACGGACGAGATCGACTGCGCAGTGCACGAGATGATCATTGAGGCGGGAGCATACCCCTCGCCCCATTCCGTGTGCACTTTTCGTCCGTGCTGCCCCATTTCCTCAGCCCGGCGTGACATCAGACGAGATCGACCGAGCGGTGCATGAGATGATCATCGAGGCGGGAGCATACCCCTCGCCGCTCTCCATGCCCACTCCCTGTGCTGCCCTACCCCCATCTTCTCCCCTTTTTCCCCCGTCCCTCCAGCCCGGAGTCACAACGGACGAGATCGACTGCGCAGTGCACGAGATGATCATTGAGGCGGGAGCATACCCCTCGCCCCATTCCGTGTGCGCTTTTCGTCCGTGCTGCCCCATTTCCTCAGCCCGGCGTGACAACAGACGAGATCGACCGAGCGGTGCATGAGATGATCATCGAGGCGGGAGCATACCCCTCGCCGCTCTCCATGCCCACTCCCTGTGCTGCCCTACCCCCATCTTCTCCCCTTTTTCCCCCGTCCCTCCAGCCCGGAGTCACAACGGACGAGATCGACTGCGCAGTGCACGAGATGATCATTGAGGCGGGAGCATACCCCTCGCCCCATTCCGTGTGCACTTTTCGTCCGTGCTGCCCCATTTCCTCAGCCCGGCGTGACAACAGACGAGATCGACCGAGCGGTGCATGAGATGATCATCGAGGCGGGCGCATACCCCTCGCCGCTCAACTACGCGGGCTTTCCCAAGTCCGTGTGCACGTCTGTCAACGAGTGCATCTGCCACGGCATCCCTGACTCGCGGCCGCTGGAGGTAAGCACCATGCCCTCAAGTCAACAGTGCTGTGCTGGTGCACGGTACGGGAGGGGAAGGCATGGGAGAGCTCGCCCCACAACCAAAGTCCGCCTGCACGTCTGTCAATGAGTGCATTATGCATATGCCACAGCATCCCCAACTCGCGCCCTCTCGAGGTGCACAGTATAGCAGGCTCGCCTTGCATGTCATGACTCAAGTCAAGGGTGCCGTCATGGTGCAAGGGAAGGGAAGGAAAGGCAAGGCAAGGCAAGGGAAGGGAGAGACCACCCCTCAAATCAAGTCCGTGTGCACCTCAAATCAAGTCCGTGTGCACCTCAAATCAAGTCCGTGTGCACCTCAAATCAAGTCCGTGTGCACCTCAAATCAAGTCCGTGTGCACCTCAAATCAAGTCCGTGTGCACCTCAAATCAAGTCCGTGTGCACCTCAAATCTGTCAAACTTATATCTGCTATAGTCTATTTAGGCTGTAGTGGGGTAGCTCTTAGAGGGTACAACACTTATGTTTTCTACTTGTACCCATCTCAGTTTCTAGTTCATTGATTCTTTCGTCAATTATCTCACAAAATCAAGTCCGTGTGCACCTCAAATCAAGTCCGTGTGCACCTCAAATCAAGTCCGTGTGCACCTCAAATCAAGTCCGTGTGCACCTCAAATCAAGTCCGTGTGCACCTCTGGAGGTAAGCAACAGGCTTGCATTGCAACTTAAAAAACGGGGAGGCGTCTTGAAAAGAACTAAGGCCGGGTGCACAGGGCAGGCGCTTCTTCTCAGGGAACTTGTTGGTGTGACTTGTTGAGAATTCTCAGAAGTCACACCAACATAGCAGGCGCTTCTTCTCAGGGAACGTGTTCTCCGTTGAGTTGTTCTGCTGCCGCTCCTCCTAAGGGCTCTCTATCCTTGCGTTTTCCGTGCTGTCCCTTTGCTGCTTCTGTGCTGCAATGCGGCCACCCCACCAGGATGGAGACATCATCAACGTCCATTATCACAGTGCACCTCAACCGAGTAGTGCCCTTTGCTCCTCACTGTCATGTCATGTGCTTGTCATGTCATGTCCCACCCACCAGCCGCCACCCCACCAGGATGGATATATCATTAGCATGGACGTCACAGTGTACCTTAACCGAATGGTGGTGCCCTTTGCCCCTCACTGTCATGTCATGTGCTTTCCATTGCCCCACCCACCCGCCTGCCACCCCACCAGGATGGGGACATAATCAACATCGACGTCACAGTGTACCTTAATGTGAGCTCTTTCATCCTTGCAACATGCTACCTCTCCCATTTTATCCCCTCTCCCCCCTTCTCTCAACCCCCCTCTCTCAACCCCCCCCGCTCTCGTTTCAAGTCCCCAGGCTCGTTTCTACCTGCCCTCTCTCTTTTCCACCTGCCCTCTCTCTTTTCCACTTGCCCTCTCTCTTTTCCACCTGCCCTCTCTCTTTTCCACCTGCCCTCTCTCTTTTCCACCTGCCCTCTCTCTTTTCCACCTGCCCTCTCTCTTTTCCACCTGCCCTCTCTCTTTTCCACCTGCACTCTCTCTCTTTTACTCACCTTTTCCCTCTTCCACCTTCACAGTCCACTCCACTCAATCTTTCTCCACCCTTCTTGCTCCTGCGCGCTTGCTCTCACCTCATCCTCGCCCCTCTCGCTCTCTTTCAGGCCCACTAGGCACACACATGGTAAACACCTTCACACTCTTACAGTGCTCCCTCCATGTGCTCCCTCCATGTGCTCCCTCCATGTGCTCCCTCCCACCATCGCTTGCTCTCCTGTAGGCTCACCCAAACACATGGTAACGACCTTTATGGCTTTCCACACGTGCTTAATCCTTCCATACCCCTTTTGAGACATCTCAAAAGTCGTGCTTAATCCTTCCATGCCCCCGTTTCTCGCTCACTCTTGTGTGCAGGGCTACCATGGAGACACATCCAAGTCATATCATTGCGGATACGAGCTTCATTCCCCCTTCTGCACATGCTTACTCCGTCCGTGCCCCCTCTGTCCCGCCCACTCCCACTCCCACTCTCACTCTCACTGCAGGGCTACCACGGAGACACGTCCAAGACATTCTACTGTGGGAACGTCTCTAATGCTGCCAAGAAGCTCGTGGAGGTGAGGGGCTGTTGAGGTGAGGAAGTGTGGGGGTGAGGGAGTGTGGTGGTGTGGAGGTGTGTTCATGCTCTGCTGATGGAGATGAATGGTGTGTTCATTTCCCACATACCAAGGCATTCTAATCCGGTCTCTCATCTTGGTATCACTCTGCGTGCCACATCTATCCATTCCACGGCACATGTGCTGTGCACGCATCCCACCCAACAGCACTGTGTTCCCATGCTACACTCCCGCACACCTTTTCCGGCGATCCGATCAAATGTATACCGTATCTGCACTAATCTACTGTGGTATTCTCATCCATCCCACCACGTGCGTGCGTGTGTGTGTGCGTGCGTGCGTGTGTGCGTGTGTGCGTGTGTGCGTGCACATGTGGCCACCAGGTGACAGAAGAGGCACTGAATGCAGCCATTGCAGTCTGTGGGCCCGATGCAGAGTTCAAGAAGATCGGCCAAGCCATTCAGTAAGAGGGGCCATTCAGTAAGATACACGAACGTGAGGTCCCAAGGGTCCTCACTCATGGGAAAGAGCAGTAAGATGGAACCCATTGCAGTCTGTGGGCCCGATGCCGAGTTCAAAAAGATCGGCCAAGCCATTCAGTAAGAGGGGCCTTCCTTCCCTATCGAATGCGCCAATCAGCATCCTGTCCATCACGAGTCGCCATTTTCCATGCTGCTGTGCCCCTTTCTTGCATCCACATGAGTTGCTGGCTGGCTGGCTGGCTGTGTGACGCACCGCCGAGCCTCTCAATGCAAAGCTTTCTCGAGTGACTCCTGTACGGTGCACTCATGCTCATGCCTCTTTGCCTCAGTGTTTCTTTGCATGCTGGCTTGGCATGTGGATGGCATGTGGGTGGCATGTAGGTGGCATGTGGATGGCATGTGGGTGGCATGTGGGTGGCATGTGGATGGCATGTGGATGGCATGTGGATGGCATGTGGATGGCATGTGGATGGCATGTGGATGGCATGTGGATGGCATGTGGATGGCATGTGGATGGCATGTGGATGGCATGTGGATGATGTATGACTTGGATGCCATGCAAGCTGATGTCATTCCAATGCCACCCCACACAGCAACAGCGTGGTGTGCAAGTCCCCGTGAGCAATTTCTCCCTCATCCTTCTCCACGCCTCCCTATGCTGCCCCTCTCACAGTGCTGTGGCGGACAAGCATGGGTACGGTGTGGAGAGAAAGACTCATCTTGTAATAATCGCATGATCCCTCAACCATCTCCACACCTCTCCATGCTGCCCCCCACTGCGCAGTGCCGTGGCAGACAAGCATGGGTATGGTGTGGTGGGAAAGTGCCTACCATGTCTTGACTTGATCATCACTTTCTCCATGACCCATCTCCACGCCACCCCATGCTGCCCGTCTCGCAGTGCCATGGCGGACAAGCACAGCTACGGGGTGGTGAGAAAGTTCATCGGCCATGGTGTTGGCTCCGTTTTCCATGCCGGCCCTGCCGTGCTGCACTACCGTGAGTTCTGCCGCTCACCCTTCCCCCACCCTTCCCCCACCCTGACCCCACTCCGACCCCACTCTGACCCCACCCTGGCCTGCACCCCCCTGTCTTCCATTCCATGCTGAGTTCTCCCCACTACCCTTCCCCCACCCTGCCTCCCCCAGGCCCACCCTGCCTCCCACCCCTTCTCTTCCCTTCGCCCCTCTCATCTGCCCCTTTTTCCCGCGCCCCTCTCCTCCACACCACCAGGCAACAACGAGCCAGGGCGCATGCAAGTGGGGCAGACGTTCACCATCGGTGAGTTGTGCATGCCCCTGTCTGCACACAAGCACTCACATGCATGGCGTGCACTCACATGCATGGCGTGCACTCACATGCATGGCGTGCACTCACATGCATGGCGTGCACTCACATGCATGGCGTGCACTCACATGCATGGCGTGCACTCACATGCATGGCGTGCACATGTCAAAGCACGTCATTCCATCAGGAACACTGGATGAGAGTTTGGGGAGGACCCAAGCCACTCTTCCCACCATTCTCCAGTTTCACTACCTCCCCACTGGTACTTCCCCCCGTTACCTCCATCCCCTCTCTTCACCCTCTCCCCTTCACAGAGCCCATGTTCACGATGGGGGGGGTGAGGGATGTGATGTGGGACGATGGGTGGACGGCCGTCACTGCAGATGGCACCTTGACAGCGCAGTTTGAGCACACTCTGCTTATAACGGAGACAGGGGTGGAGGTGCTCACAAGGTGATGATTGGTTGCACAGTAGTGACTACGATGTTACACATTCCAGTAGTCACTTTGTTTGAATGAATTTTGCTTAAAATGGATCCAGAAGTGGAAATTACATACGTACTTAAGTGATGTAAGGTGGCCTTGTTGATATTGATATAAGCTGTTTCACTTATGTATCACACAATCTCAACAACTAGGTCTATGTTTTTGCTATGCTGAAATTGTGTCGGAATAAAAACCATTGTTTTCATTTGTTATGCTTCTGAATACGTATGGCACATCTTGACTTTCTTGGTTGCACTTGCAATACACCATGGCCTAATTCAAGTGGCAAGCAGTTGTGAGGCGCGGTGCAGCAGCGAGGCAAGGACGGGGAGATGGGATCTAATAGGCAGCATGTGGCTGCGAGGTGGTGTTGAGAGAGCAACGGAAGGCTGGGAGCATCAGGCGGTTGAGAGGCGGGCAGCACGTGGTTGAGCGGCATGTGCGGAGGTGTTGAGGCATGTCACAGCAGAGAGGCGAGGAAAGGAAGGTCAAAGCCATGAGTAGCAGGAGTGTCACCGATGGCATCAAACACAGCATCCGCTGCTGAGAAATCCTCATCTGCCGTGTAGCTGGTGGGTGGGGCAAGGTGGGGAAACGGGGTGAGGAAATGTCACAGGGAAACAAGATGGCAGAACCCTTGTAATGAGCAGTGAAGCAAAGAAGGGGTGGGTAGACGAGGCGATAATGTAGCAGACAGGATAAGTCTGAGGGAAACCAGACGAAGGGAAAAAAGGTGGAGGGGAGGGAGGAGGGGGAAAGAGGCAGCAGTACCCGCTCTTGGTGACGACACAGGTCATGCCGGCAGCCTTGGCCGCCGTCAGGCCGATGTGACTATCCTCTATCACCACACAGCTGCCAGCAGGACATAGCAGGGAAGAGCAGAGAAACACGAGGCGCTACATGGCTTATGAGGCTTAAAGCCTTGGTAGCCGTGAGGCCGATGTGACTGTCCTCTATCACCACACAGCTGCCAGCAGGGGATATGGTGCATCCGTTAGAACAAGGGGATACATGAGCAGGGGATACACAACAGCGCAATTATAGTAACTTTTGAGTCGATCCAGAAGTTGCCTTGGCAGCATTGAGGCCGATGTGGCTGTCATCTATGGCCACAGAGCTGCCAGGAGGGAACGATTGAATACGGGATATACAACAGCACGACTGAGGGAGTGCTTGATTGAAAGAGGGAGAGCATGGGGTGAGGCCGCCAGGGGGCGAAGAGAAGTGGGCAGAGGGAAAGGACATGGGGCAGAGAGCATGGGTGAAGGAATCTTACCGTGCCGGGTTGAGGTTAAGAGTGGTGGCAGCTAGATTGTAAATGGCCTGGCACAGGGGGGGTGGTTGATGCATACGAACAGGCACATCAGGGGCATGTGGGACATGTGGGGGATGGAGGGGATTGTGATTGGCAGCATTGAGATTGTAGATGGCCTGGTATGGGGGGTTTGGCCGTCACCTCGCCCAGCCCCATCCCATGTTATGCATCGCCACTTTACCTGACTAGTTCCCATGTGCTCGCCCGATGCAATGTCTCCATTGGTGGAACATTGAACATGCGCATGAGAAGCGCCTTCCCAACCACAACCAAGCGCCGCCTTCCCCTCTTATCCCATGCCGCACCTCGTGGATTTTCGTCTTTGGCGATACATCTGACTGTATGCCCTCTGACTGTGTGCGCTCTGCATGTGTGCACCCTCCATGTGTGCGCTCTGCATGTGTGCACCCTCCATATGTGCACTCTCCATGTGTGCACTCTGCTCACCGGGTCGGGTTTCTTCTTTGGAACAACAACCCAAGCGAATATCCGCATGTGCTGCACCCTCTCCACGGCCATCCCCATCTCCCCCATTTCTGCATGATACATTCAAGTTTCGTGAACTGAGAAGATTTTTGAGGCGCCTCAAAACACGGCCATCCCCATCTCCCCCATTTCTGCATGATACATTCAAGTTTCAACTGTGTGCCCTCTGCATGTGTGCACCCTGCCCACCCGGCCAGGTTCCTTCTCCCCCTTGCCATCCCTGGCGAAGATCCACATGTTCCTCTTGAAGCTCCTCTCCTCGCCCAGCCCCTTGCCATCCCTGGCGAAGATCCACATGTTCCTCTTGAAGCTCCTCTCCTCGCCCAGCCCCTTGCCATCCCTGACGAAGATCCACATGTTCCTCTTGAAGATCCTCTCCTCGCCCAGCCCCTTGCCATCCCTGACGAAGATCCACATGTTCCTCTTGAAGCTCCTCTCCTCGCCCAGCCCCTTGCCATCCCTGGCGAAGATCCACATGTTCCTCTTGAAGCTCCTCTCCTCGCCCAGCCCCTTGCCATCCCTGACGAAGATCCACATGTTCCTCTTGAAGATCCTCTCCTCGCCCAGCCCCTTGCCATCCCTGGCGAAGATCCACATGTTCCTCTTGAAGCTCCTCTCCTCGCCCAACCCCGCCCTAACCATGTCGACATGATACACTCGATACAACTGCATGCACTCCACGCACCAGGTCGGGTTTCTTCCTCGGGACCACATCCCCAGCGACTATCCGCATGGTTTGGTTTGGCCCGCTCCTCGCCCAAGTCCCACCTTATCCGTCACCCCCTCTCCATGATACATCCCGCCTTACACCTCCTCTCCTTGTCTGCACTCTGCACTCTGCTCAGTGCTCATCGAACCAGGGTTTTATTGGGAAGAAATATCCCCAGCAAGTATCCGCGTGTGTTGGGCCCTCTCCTCGCCCATCCCCACCTGATTCATTTCGACATGATACATTCAATTCAGCTGAATGCACTCTTGCTCACCGGGTCGGGCTTCTTCTTGGGAACCACATCCCGGGCGAGTATCCGCATGTGCATGCTGAAGCAAGCGCCTCTCCTCGCCCTGCCCCACTTTATCCATTTCTACACACATGATACATCAGCATGTGTGCACCCTGCTCACCGGGTCGGGTTTCTTCTTCGGCACCACATCCCCTGCAAATATCCGCATGTGCTGCGCCCTCTCCTCGCCCATCCCCACCTTCCCCATCTCTACATTATACATTCAAGTTCCAACTGTCTGCCCTCTGCATGTGTGCACCCTGCTCACCGGGTCGGGTTTCTTCTTTGGAACGACATCCCCTGCAAATATCCGCATGTGCTGCGCCCTCTCCTCGCCCAGCATGACCCTCACAATCGCCCCCACCGCCTTCTCATTCGACGTGCTGCACACCGCCACCCGCACGCCCGCTGCCAGTGCCTCGTCAATGAGGCTGGGGATGGAGAGGGGTGGGGAGAGGAGGGTTACGATGATACGAGGGGCAGAAAGGGCTCAACAGCCGAGCATGACTCTCACAATCGCCCCCACCGCCTTCTCATTCGACGTGCTGCACACTGCCACCTGCACGCCCGCTGCCAGTGCCTCATCGATCAACCTGAGGGGGAGTGGAGAGGAAAAGGAGGGGGGGGGTTTCCCTGATATAAAGTGCGGTAAGTAAGGGCTCAGCATCCCAGCATGATTCTCACAATCGCCCCCACTGCCTTCTCATTTGACATGCTGCACCCCGCCATGTGCACTCCCACTGCCAGTGCCTCGTCAATGAGCCTGTTGGGGATGGCAGGGGAGAAAGGAGGGGATGCAGTGGTATGAGGTGCAATAAGCAAGGGCTCCACAGCCCAGCATGACCCTCACAATCGCCCCCACTGCCTTCTCATTTGACGTGCTGCACCCCGCCACGTGCACTCCTGCTGCCAGTGCCTCGTCGATCAGCCTGGGGGGGAAGAGGGTAGAGGGAGGGGTCGCACAGCTCTGGCTTGCAGTGGTATGAAGCGCAGTAAGTGCAGGCTCAACAGCCCAGCATGACTCTCACGATCGCCCCCACCAGCTTCGCCCCATTGCCCCAGCTCGTTGGCAGAATGTGCTGCACACTGCCACCTGCACACTGCCACCTGCACACTGCAACCTGCACACTGCCACCTGTACACTGCAACCTGCACACTGCCACCTGCACACTGCCACCTGCACACTGCAACCTGCACACTGCCACCTGCACACAGTCATAGAACCACAGTCACACAATCACAGTAACTTCGAATCACCGTACCACGCCTGGCTGCAGGGGCAGCGCGCCCGTCTCCACAAGCTGCATGAAGAGAAGGAAATTGTTGGATGACAGAGTCGTAGAGTCATAGAGTCACAACGATACAGCAACACACCCAAAGTCACAGTCACACGCTCACTGTGCGACGCCTGGTCGCAGCGGCACAGCACCCGTCTCCACGAGCTGCAAGAAGAGGGCTGTCTTGCTCTTGCTCCGTCACACAGTCATAGGCACACAGAAACACAGGTACACACTACCTCCACTGCACATACAATCACAATTCCTTCGACTCACCGTGCCACGCCTGGTCGCAGCGGCAGCGCACCGGTTTCCACGAGCTGCGTGAAGAGAAGCAACTTGCAGAGTCACACGAAACACAGTCACACAGTCATAGAATCACAGTCACAGCCACACAGACTCACCGTGCCACACCTGGTCGCAGGGGCAAAGCACCCATCTCCACGAGCTGCATGAAGAGTGCCGTCTTGCTCTTGTGGAGCCCCATAGTTGTAGGTGCACAGAAACACAGTCACACAGTACCAGAACATACAATCACACCCACCGTGCGACGCCTGGTCGCAATGGCAGTGCACCGGTCTCCACAAGCTGCATGAAGAGCGCCGTCTTGCTCTTGTGGAGCCCCGCCACGAAGGCTGCTCGCTCTGAAGGATCCGTGGGGGCTGCTTGCGGCCAACCCACTTGATTGAAGTAGTGAGTCATGCTGGCCGGATGAAGTGGGTGAGGGGAGGAAGGCGGGAGGAGAGGGGAGCGAGAGGCAAAGAGAGGGATGCAAGAAGAGGATGAGGGGCGCTCTTGCTCTCAGCTTGTGAAGACGGATGAGGGGTGCTCTTGCTCCTGTGCAGTGCAGGGCGGCCAGGAGGGCTGCTCGCTCCACTCCATTGCGACAGGCTGGTGGGGGCTGCCTCAACCACTCCATCGCACCGATTGAAGCAGCAGCTCATTCCGGCCCTGCGGTGGGTGGGTGGGTGGGTGGGTGGGTGGGTGGGTGGGTGGGTGGGGATGTGGGGATGTGGGGATGTGGGGAGTGCTTGGGAGGGAAGAGGAGAGAAAAGCGAAGAGGTTTAGTTTTTTATGGACTGCAAGCAGGGGGCGAAGAGTGTCAAGTCGAGCCGACCTGCTCGTGTGTGCAGGCCGGCAGAAAACGGATGCTCTGATGGGTTGGTCGGTGGGGGCTGCCTGGTGGCAGCTCGCTGAGTTGAAGGCTTGCAGCCAGGAGGAGCGACTAAGGAGAGCGAGGTGGCGAGACGTTGGGAGGTGCATTCAAGAAAAGAGGGGCTGGCAGAGGTGGACTACAGAGGAATGGTTACGTACGGGGTTTGGGTGCCTCACGTGCATGCAGGGGCAGGCTCACACAATATTGTGTGGTCCCTTGCGTATAGTTAGTTACAAGAGAACATGAGAGGTGATGCAGTGTGATGCAGTGTGATGCAATGCGATGCAATGCAGAGGGCTCGATGCGTACCGCTCCTTGCCGCCTCCGATCTTGAGCAGCTCGCCATACAGCGGCACGTCCCATGTGACCCCCAGCCCTTTCTGCGAGCAGGAGTGATGCAGCACAGCACAGTATGAGGAGAGGGGGGAGAGAATGAGGGGGGAGAGAATGAGGAGAGGGGGCATTGGCCGGTACGATCTTGAGCAGCTCGCCATACAGCGGCACGTCCCATGTGACCCCCAGCTTTTTCTGCAACAAGGAGCGAGTGCAGCACAGCACAGCAGCAAGGGTTAGGGGAGAGAGAATGAGGAGAGCGGTCGTTGGTCGGTGCAACATTGAGCAGCTCGCCAGAGAGCGGCACTCCCAGCCTTTTCTGCCACAAGGAGAGAGTGCGGCACAGCAGCAGAGCAGCACGGGAGCGGGGAGAGAGGACGCGGAGAGAGGTGGTGGGTCAGTGCCGGCTGGCCCAAGCAGGTTTCATAGAGACGCACGCCCCGACCTGTGCCATCTCTCTCAGTCATCGCATCCCTGTCAGCCGTCTCAGTGTCAGTCAGTACCACGCCTCCCCTCATCACAACAAGGGCCCGATTCATAGAGGCCAAGTGCCCATCAGAAGCTGCCAATTTATGCCCCACATTCGCCCTCCTAACTTCCTCACACGTTGTATCTCCACACTCCCCTCCCACCGTGCAAGCCTCTCACCTCTTCAAACGCCTGCTGTAACGGCACATCTCACGCACTCAGCACACACGTCGCTCTCTCCCCTCCCGTCCCGCTCTCTGCTAGCCCCTTCACACTCCTAGCTCCAGCACCTCTTGGAACACGTGGTTGAATGAACGACACGCGGTGGCCATCCCTCTCCGTGTCAACCAGCACGCCATCACAGCCTAACAGAATAGCGCACATGCCTCCACCCTCCGCCTCCCCTACGCTTCCCTTCCCCCATGCCACCGCCTCACCTCCTCAAACGCCTGGTTGAACGACACGCGGTGGCCGTCCCTCTCCGTGTCCACCAGCAATTGACCACCAGCGACAGCAAACCCTCCTGCTGGATGCAGCTGGTACGCGCGCTTCTCCCAGCCCTCTCACCTCCTCGAACGCCTGGTTAAAGGATACGCGGTGGCCGTCCCTCTCCGTGTCCACCAGCACGCCGTCGCAGTCGAACAGCAGCGCCTCGGGGAGGCTCGCCGCATCCCCCGCCGCCGCCGCGACGGCGGAGTGCTGCGCAGCGCGAGCCGCAATTCCCCGCGGGATGTGACGCGCGTCGCTCGCTGACGACAACGACGGCGACGACGGAGCGCCTCCTCGTCGCACTTCCATTCGCAACGCGACGTCGCCTCTCGTTGCGAAAGCGCTCTTTGCGGCGGCATTGCAGCGCTGGACTCCAGCGGGGCTCACTGCGGGAATGGCGGCGAGCGGGGGAAACGCTCGGAATCGCGCGGGAAGGGGAGCGTTGGCGGGAGGGCGGAAGGCGGGCGCGGGAGCAATGGCGGTGGCGGGAGCCATGATGGCGCGAGCGGCAGGAGATTGAAACGGCGTGGTGAGATGTGAGCAACAGCACATAGCGAGCCTGGTCAGGCTGGAAAGGTGAGCAGGATCCGATATGCATACTCAGTACAGTTGAAGCATACATACGTTTAAATAATACCATTCATATCATAGTTTACTGCTCAAGGTGTGATTGCTGGACTTTGCCCCCCACAACACCCGCCCCCCCCCCCCCCCCCTCCCCCCCCCCCACCCGCGAGGGGTAATATACTCTAAAAAGCGGTTTAGGCTAGGAAATTACCTCTTATTCCAGGTGTTATGAATGAACTACAAAGTGCGCGAATAACGAGACTGGAATTACAGAATGACGATACAATAAAAATAGCGAGACTGAATAGGGGTTTTCATAGCTAGGCGGGAAGTGTCATAATATATTTTATATATATTTCTGTATAACTGCATATAGTTCTAGCTTTAGTGTAGTTACTGTTATAGTCCCTGTAGGTGGTGCACCCTTTGCCATCTCTTGCTCCTATATCTTGTACCTTCTTCTCGTAGTGAAACATCTTTTCCTCTCTCACTTTTACTCTCGACACTCATGTCTAGCCTACCCTAGTATGGCTCCTATCTCCTACAAAGTTACTATCTCGACATGGTATTAGAGTAGTTACGACCCTTGGGCCCACCACCTGCTGCCCTGCGCACCGCCCTCGTGCGGCCCTCTCCTCTCGACGTTCGGCACGGCCCGTAGCCCCTAGGCCCCGGCCCGTCACCCCGCGCCCGTCGCCCCTAGCTCTCGGCCCCGGCCCGTCGCTTGGCCCGTCGCCCCAGGCCTGTCGCCACGGCCCGTCGCCCCTAGGCCCGTCGCCCCTAGGCCGGCCCGTCGCCCCTAGCCCGGCCCGTAGGCCTGTCGCTCCTAGCCCGGCCCATCGCCCCTAGCCTCCGGCCCCCTAGCCCGTCGCTCGCGCCCGCCGCCTCTAGGCCCGTCGGCCCCATCGCCCGTCGCTCCCCTAGGTCCGGCCCGTCGCCCAACGCCCCTAGGCCCGTCGGCCCCGTCGCCCGTCGCTCCCCTAGGCCCGGCCCCGTCGCTCGACGCCCCTAGGCCCCGGCCCCTAGCCCGTCGATTTTCTGCCCGATGCGCGCCCTGGCTGCGCGTCGGTTTCGGTGCGCGACGGTTTCTGCCCGATGCGCGCCCCGGCTGCGCGTCGGTTCCTGCCCGTCGCACGCCCCGGGCGCCCGTCGGTTTCTACCCGTCGCACGCCTCGAGCGCGCGACGGTTTCTTCCTGCCTGCGCGCCCTGCAGTCGCACGCGCAGCTCATTCCCCGCCCCCGCCCCCCTCCCCCTCCTCCATGGGGAAGGGGGGGAGAGGGTGTGAGGGGGTGGCGGATGTGCCTCAGCAGCAGCAGCTGCCGCCACGCCTCCTCCTCTCTCTCTCCCTGCCGCACCTTGTGTTGAGAGGGGGGGGGAGCTTGGAGGTTAAGGGAGTGGCAGGAGGGGATCTGCAGCACCAGCCCCCCCCGCCCCCCCTTTCTCCTCCATCCCTGGGGGGTGACGGATTGTGGAGCAGCAGTGGGGGGGAGGGGATCTGCAGCACCAGCCCCCCCCGCCCCCCCCCTTCTCCTCCATCCCCCTGCTGCAGGTGCAGCAGTTGGGGGGAGGGGATCTGCAGCACCAGCCCCCCCCCCCCCCCCTTCCCCCCCCTTCTCCTCCATCCCCCTGCTGCGGGTGCAGCAGTGGGGGGGAGGGGATCTGCAGCACCAGCCCCCCCCCCCCCCCCCCCCCCCCCCCTTCTCCTCCATCCCCCTGCTGCGGGTGCAGCAGTGGGGGGGAGGGGATCTGCAGCACCAGCCCCCCCGTCCCCCCCCTTCTCCTCCATCCCTGGGGGGTGACAGATAGTGGAGCAGTAGTGGGGGGAGGGGATCTGCAGCATCAGCCCCCCCGTGCGAGGAGTTCCACGAGCAGCGCCTATACAACTGCACTAGTTTCAGCTGCAAGGAGGTGCTGCTCGAGCAGGTCGATAGTGAGGTCTGCGAGGTCAAGGGAGAGAAAGTGGTCCCTGACTGCGCGAAGAGAGTCAAGGAGGCGGGTGACTATGAACTAGAGAGTGATGTACATCGGAGGGGGGTTCTTGGCAAGGAACTCTGCTGGGAGGGCAGCGCGGTAGCGAGCGTCGCTAGTGCGAAGGTGGGAAACAAGGTCCTCTACCATGGCAAAGGCGGACATCTCGGGAAACAGGTAGGCCAGTATAAGACAGCCTAGAGTAGCAGTGGTCGGGGAGCAGTAACGGGCGACTACAGCGTCGTATAGTGCTTTAGCAGTTTTGTGCTGTCTGAAGTGAGTGCATTCGGCTAACGGCAGGTGGTTGCAAATGGCTAAGCGGGCAGCAGCGTCACGGGTAAGCCACTGTGAGCGAGTCGCACTGTCAGCTGTGGCGGGAGGGGTGAGAGAGGCGCCAAACGTGTGGTCAAACAACGAAACGCTGTCTCTAGAGTCGCTCTGTAGGTACAGCTGTAAGTCGTCGAGCCACGTGTCGAACTGGATCTGACGGCCCTCATGATCGAACATGAGGACACTGAGAGAAGCCATAGCGGGCAGAGCAGGGTGGCGCGCTACCAGCAGAGCAGCACGCAGGTAGAGCAGAGCGGCGCACGGCGCACAGCACGCAGGCAGAGCAGAGGGGCGGCGAGCGGGCTGCAAGTGGCTGCGCGCAGGCTGCAAGAGGGGCGGCTCGCAGGTGGCAAGGGGCGGCAGGTGGGCCGCAGGGTGGGCGGCGAGCGAGCTGGCCGCAGGCAGGCAGCGAGTGGGCTGCAGGAGCGGCGGGCGGGCCACAAGCGGGCGGCGCGCGGGTTGTAGGGGCGGCGGGCGGGCCGCAAGCGGGCGGCGCGCAGGCTGCAGGGGCGGCGGGCGGGCCGCTAGCGGGCGGCGCGCGAGCTGCAGGGGTGGCGGGCGGGCCGCAAGTGGGGCAGGGGCGGCAGGGGCGGCGTGTTGGGCTGCAGGGGCGGCGTGTTGGGCTGCAGGGGCGGCGTGCAGGGCTGCAGGGGCAGCGCACGGGGCTGCAGGGGCGGCGCGTGGGGCTGCAAGGGCGGCGCGCGGGCTGCAGGGGCGGCACGCGGGGCTGCAGGGGCGGGGCGTGGGGCTGCAGGGGCGGCGCACTGGGCTGCAGGGGCGGCGCGCGGGGCTGCAAGGGCGGCGCGCGGGCTGCAGGGGCGGCACGCGGGGCTGCAGGGGCGGGGCGTGGGGCTGCAGGGGCGGCGCACTGGGCTGCAGGGGCGGCACGCGGGGCTGCAAGGGCGGCGCGCGACGCTGCAGGGGCAGTGCGCGGGCTGCCGGGGCGGCTCGTGGGCTGCTAAGGGCGGCGCGCTGTGCTGTAGGGCGGTGCACTGTTAGGGTAGAGCAGTGAGTGGGGCAGCTCTGTGGTGGGCCCTAAAAAAACGGTCCTATGGAAGGTCCTGCTCTGAAACCATGTCAGAAGAATGAATGAGAATGAATGAACTATGAAAGAGTTGGGTACAAGTACTAACCCTAATTGGGTTGTACCCTGTATGGGCTACCCCACTATAGTCTATACAAAGTAAGCATTATAACAGTTTGACAGGTTCAGATTCAGAGTAATGTATTTTTTTAATTCTAAAAAAAACAGATTACGGTATTCTTTACGGAAACCTTGATTGATCGCCCGGGTATGATTTTTTTATGTCGAAGTTTTCTCTAATGCAGGCATACGGTTTTTTAGAGGTGTTCTTACATCACCCCGAATTGGACTAGGGAAATTTGGAATCCTTACATTACCACAAAATCAAATTGCTATACGTAGAAATTTTACAAACAGATCGTTTACTTGTACGGCGTCATTCTTGCTGGTTGCTCTCCTGTAACGAGTACATGCTCTTCGTATCTAGTGAAGCCTCATCACCTCGACTCTAGTTTACGGCATTCTAATCTCATCTCATTCCCGGCCTCTTACTTTTTTCGCCGTGCTACATTGCCACGAGCCTCGTAGAGGCCTGCCCCGCCGCGATGCACACGTGGCTGTACCGCGTGAACGCGGTCGTCACGCTCTCCGTCTTTCTGCTCATCGGCCTCAGCGTGCTCGCGTCCCTCTCCGAACGCCTCCACACGTCCTCCCCGACCGTCGATCTGGACGTGAGCTGGCTGATCCGTCGGGGGAAGCTTCTCGTTACTATCGCTAAAGGCGTTTCGTTGCGTGTCGCACCATTGGCGACGTGATTTGCTTTGGCATCCTTGCAGCTCCACGCCCGGTCTTTTTTTAAGTTTAGGGTCGCATTCCTTCAGAGCCTTTCTTTGGCGACGGGTTTGAGCCTGCGATCTCGGTGGACCAGCTCTCTTACAGCGAAGTAACGAATTATATCCTGTCCACTTAATGTCGCGTACGCCGTTAGAGGAACTTTGAAATTGAACGAGAGTTGCGTTCACGTGTTTCACGGGGGCAGCGTGCGCTAACATCGATTCTCATGTCCATACTGTGTGCGAATTGTGCGATGCGTGCAACGTGCAGCTGCTGGACGTGGAACATTTCTGGAGGATACCGGGCGGTCCCTTCCAAGGCAACGATGAGGTACGCCTTGATGGCGGTGCGGGTGGTGATGGCGGTGCGGGTGGTGATGGCCTAACGAAGGGCGGCGTCATCTGCTCGAGTTCCGGCATCTCGCCGTCCTTTCCATCCTCGCTGCCCGTGTGCGCCGTTCGTCTCACCAGAGGCGATCGATTCTGCTCATTTGTTGTTTGCTCGGAGTACGTCACGTAGGATGATGACGTCAGTTCGTGACCCCACCCTCTCCCCGCCCTCCCACTCCACACCCCCCTCTGCCCCCTTAACCTTCCCCCGTCCCCCTTCCCCTTTTTCCCCCCCTCCCACTCCCCTTTGCCCTGTCCCGCTTCTCCTTCCCCCTCCGCCTTCCCCTTCCCCGTCCCCCATTCCCCTTCCCCCGTCCCGCTTCCCCTTCCCCCGTCCCCATTTCGCTTCCCCCGTCCCGCTTCCCCTTCCCCCGTCTCCCTTCCCCTTCCCCCTTCGCCCGCCCCCCTTCCCCAGGCTGTGTTGACGCTCAACATCACGGCCAACCTCACGTCAGTCTTCACCTGGAACACCAAGCAGGTACCTTCTCCTCTCCTCGCCCCGTTTCCCCCTCCTTTTCGTTTGAAGCAGGTACCATTTATTCCCCTCAGAACGCACCACGCTTGCCCCTGGAACACAACACACCACCCTTGCTCCCGGAACACACCATTCTTTCCCTGCATGCGCACCCCTCTTTCCCCCATAGCAAGGGGCTGCCACTCGCTGCTGCTGGGAAGCCACGTGTTAGTACGCCATGACCTTACTAGCACGGAGCATGCGTGTTGTTGACTCTTGCACCACTCCTGCCTTGCACACCACTCCTGCCTTGCACACCACTCCTGCCTTGCACACCACTCCTGCCTTGCACACCACTGCAGTGTCTGAGATGCTCGTGAATTGCGCCTAATGCAACCCTGTCACAACTCTGGTCCCTCTGTGTCTTCCCCAGCTCTTTGTGTTTGTCACTGCAGACTTTTCAACCCCGAAGCATCCTCTGAACCAGGTGGGCCTGGCTTTCCCAGTTTCCTCATCCAACATCATTGCTCGTCTGTTCCTCATCTCCCTCCATCCACATTGACCCTTGTCTTTTCCACTCTGCGTCATTCTCCGAGTGCCTAGCCAGCTGTGGTCTGAGTGCATAGCTTTGATATCTTAGCAAACACCAAGGACTCACCATGCCATGGTGGTGCGTGGGTGATTGCGTGTCAGGTGTCGCTGTGGGATGCCATCGTGGAGCGCAAGGAGGACGCGGCGCTGCAGTTCACAAGGGAGATCAGCGAGTACTCGCTCATGGACCAGGTCAGCACCAATCCCAATTCAAGACCGGGTGTCAATTATCTACTTGCTGCGCTGTCCAATTAGGGAGTACTCGCTGAGCTAAAAAAGTACTGCAGTTCACGAGGGAGATCAGTGAGTACTACTCGCTCATGGACCAGGTCAGGTCATCACCAATCCACCCTTCCTCACTTCTGTAGAAGTTGGTCAGAGATGTCAGCAATCCAACCTTCTTCTTGCTGTTCCGCCCCTCAGCTGCCCTCGTCTCTGTGTTCCGCGCCTCAGCTGCCCTCGTCTCCGAGCTCTTCCTTCACCAGTTAATGTGTTTTCAACGCTCCTTTTCTGCTCCCGGTTCTTGTCGCCGACTCTCTTTTCACACGTGCGCCCTTGTCTCTCTCTCTCTCTCTCGCACATGGCAGGGGAACAGCCTGAGGGGGCTGCCCTTCAACCTGACGGTGTATTGGAACGTGATGCCCATAGTGGGCGGCCTCTCCATGGACCACATCTCCTTCTCCGGCTTCACCATGCCGCCCAACTACCGCCCCTTCCACCTCCCCCGCGACCCCTCACGCTTTGGCGCGCAGCAGCACCACATGCACGACATGCACTTTGAGCAGGACGTGGAGGGGCATGAGGACGGGGATGATGGTGAAGGGTTTGAGGTGGAAGGCCATGACGATGGGGAGGATGATGAGGATGATTCTTGATTGACGTACTACAGTATTCTCCCGGATAGACACCCCCCCACCTCACAAGATGAGCCTCGAGGCTTTTTATTATCATCAGCAAAAGAAGCAATAAGACGTTTTCCCACTAAATGCCCTAACCTCTTTTGTAGATTCAAAATTGTACTGTAAATTGAAATTGTTAAAAAATTAGTGTAAAAAAATTCACACCTAGGATATCCATGTGGCGCCTGTCTGGGAAAACCTGGCATTTTTTAAATGCAACCGTGCTTATCAGCAGGCCCTCAGATTCACTTTTAGGGACCCTGATGCATCAGGGTCCCTGTGAAAAAAAAGGCTGATTGTCAGTGTTCCTAAAAAAAAAAGCCAGAAATTTCAGGGTTCCTAAAAAAAAAAAGCCTGGTCTCATATACCGTCATACCCCGGATATACCCCCATGGGGGGCAATAATAAAACAGGTTTTTTCAGGGGGGTGGGCTTATAATCGAGTAAATTTATAAGCGCCGGCGTTTATAAAATGACATATATATTTTTTCTATTTTTTAACACCAAACTGTAGATCTCGTGCTTGCCTTTCCAATCGAGTCGAAGTTACATGGGGTCGTCTGTGAAATTCTCGCGCGAGCTGGGAGATACACCCAATCTGACTCACATCCAGCTCAGGGCTGATTTTATCAGGGTAATTACCCTGATTTCAGGGTGATTTCAGACTTGTCACTTTCTGGACCCTGAGAAATCAGGTTTTTCACATTTTGGTCTCTGATCCATTCAGCGTATTGCTTTAGCGGACCCTGAAATTTTGTGTACACTCTCAGTGTAGGGTTTTCACGGACCCTGTCAATACAGAGTACGAGGCCTGTGGACCCTGAATGCGATGTTATCGGGGCGAAGTTTCTCGGAAATTTCCTCCTGATAACCCCTTCGCATTGATTTCAGTGCCCCCCACGTGCGTAACCCCCCCCCCCCCCCCCCCCCCCCCCCCCCCCCCCTCGCTTTATCGAGACGAAGTTTCTTCGAAGTTTCATTCCCATACACCCACCATCTACTGTCCTCGGTAAAGAAAGAGCGCGTTACTACGACCCTGATTTTCAATTCTCGACCCTGAACATTCAGAGTTCACTACTTCTCAACCCTGAGCAATCAGGGTGCTGTTTTTCTAGAAAATGTGCCTTCAGGGTAATTTTTTTTTTTTTTAGGTTGAAATCAGGGTACCTAAATTTGAAAAGTCAGCCCTGATCCAGCTCCTGACAGCTCCTGCTGACTGGACCCGCATCCAGTGCAGGGTCCGAATGTGAAGGGAATCGAATCTGCAACACATCCGCCTGCTAAAGTAAAAATCGTTACAGCATTTTGAACACATTTCAAAATTTAAAGTTTACGTGCGCTTATAATAAAACAAGTTTTTTCAGGGGGTGCGCTTATAATCGAGCAGCGGATATAAGCGCCATGCGCCAATTAAAAGCGCCAGGCGCTTATCCGAGGGTGGCGCTTATATCCGGGGTATGACGGTAATTGATATTTGTGGTTACAAGTTCAGGCCCAACCAAATATGGCGATATAGGAAATCGAACCGAGGACTTTTCCCTTCGACAGTAATTATATACGACTGGAACAGTTCATGCTGTCGAAGGCAAATGTTTTTGTAATATTTACACTTTTGATACGAAATGTTGGAGTCCCGATAATCTCGGGCGTTTTACAGGAAGGATGCGGAATCTGCATTCAGTGTACACGTTCGATATAAGGCTGAAAAATCAGTCCCCTTCCCTAAAAAAAGGCTGAAATTTCAGGGTTACAAAATAAAAAAGGCTGAAAGTTCAGGGTTGGTACAGAAAAAAAGGCTGAACGTCAGTCAAATCAAGGTAAAAAGCCTGATTTATGAGGGCCTGCTTATCAGTATGTTTGCTCATGAAATAGCACTTGGCTAGCCATGTAATACATGAATGCATAAAAAAGGAAGAGGGGGGGGGGGAGAACAAACAAAACAAAACAAAAACGACCATAATACAGCAGAGGTCTAGAGGCAAATGCCGTTACGCAAGTGAATTAAGTCTCTGGCACAGAACCCACTGCAAAGTGATTGAAAAGGAACAGCTGCAGAGGCTAGCGTGCTGACACCATGACATCGAACCAAGGCTCCAGGGGACTTGAATTCACGCGCCTGCCGAGAGGTGCTCACTGCTCACCCATATTTGGCAGCCACACACAGCTGCAATCAAGGATGCAAGATTTGGGAAGTTGTAGGGAATTTCAGTTTAGACGGGTCTGGACACGTCGACAGTGCATTGCCATACAAGCGTCGAAGCTTACACCATCAATGTCGCGCAGGGAATCGCGGAAGGAGATCCAGGGGTTGAGCCTGCAGAGGTCCACCATGGTGGCTTTATTGGATGCTGCCACCTGCTTGAAGTCTACCACTCGGCCGATCGCTGTGTCTTTTTTACATTTCGGCTTCGCCTTGGTTGGGTCGCGCTCCACACACAGGGAGTGGAACGCGGGGAGGCGAAAGGGGCAAGTAACACCGGGGTTAAGCTGCTGCAGGCTATTCTCGGAAACCGAGCCAAGGAGGTGCATGTTTCATTCTGTGGAAGAGGAAGGAAAGGCAAAAGAATGGAAAGAAAGTTGAGAAGGAAAGAGGTGGTCAACGGGGGTGAAAGAGGATGCGGAAACACAGAGGTAGTGGAACGATGGGAATGCTAAGGTGCATAAAGGAATGGGTAGCACGTGGTCTTCCTGCTGCTTGGGTGAAGGATGGTCAGGGGGAAAGTCAAGAGGAAGCACAGAACATGCCAGCACATGGTGCCACTGGTAGCACATGGTGCCACTGGTAGCGCATGGTGCCACTGGTAGCGCATGGTGCCACTAGTAGTGCATGGTGTAATGGTGCCACTGGCAGCATCTGCACTATCCATACATGATGCATGGGATGCTCCCATAGCAGAAGGCTGGGACACAACGTGTGAGACTCACCGGCTGGGTGTAGTAGAAGGCAGAGCAAGCTGGCAGAAGCTCTTTCACCACGAGCTTGCGATCCTGAGGAAGGAGAGCAGAGCAGTCGATACCCTGGAGGGGATGGGGCAGTGAGAGAGGGAGAGGGAGAGGGTGAGGGAGAGGGAGAGGGTGAGCGGAGGGAGGGAGAGAGGATGAGATAGGAAGAGGGTAGGCGAGAGGTGAGCTGGAAAGAGAAGGAGAGGGTGAGAGAGGCGGAGGAGAGGGAGGGAGAGAGGGCACAGAAACAAGAATGGCGTAAGAAGCTCAGTCATTGCACACAGACTCGAAGGAGTTGAGATAGTTTGACGGAAGAGGTCTTGCTTGAATTATGTCGGCGCAGCAATAAAGGCACTCAGGCGTGCAGCAACTGAGACCATGTTTGGCGCAGCATGTGGCAGGGCTCACCGGGTTCATGGCGGTGAACTGCTGCAGCGTGGTAAGAGCGGCGATTGGGCAGACAGATGCAGGAGTTGTCCTGGGTGCCACGGTTGAAGTACATGCACCCCATGCACGGGTTCACTCTGTCGCTGCTACACCCGCCCGCTGGTGGGGGACACACACAAGGAGCAGAGGATGGCAAGCACAGGAGTGGCAAGGAGGAAACAATTGGGGGGTCCGTGGGGCAGGAAAGGGCAGAGAAGACGAGGAGCATCGCTGCTGCCAGTACTGAAATGCTTTGATCAGGCAACGGTGCTTCCCAGAGGCACAAGCGATGCCAGTTCCAACACAGCCCCCTCATGTGGGACCCAGAATGGATATTGGCATGGCAAACGACAGCTTTGGGGCTTACTGGTTGAACTCTCTGCGTCGGGGTACTCAGAGGGAGCTGCGGTGTTGCTGGCAGGAGCTGCGGTGTTGCTGGCAGGAGCTGTGGTGTTGCTGGCAGGAGCTGTGGTGTTGCTGGCAGGATCTGTGGTGTTGCTGGCAGGTGCCGTGGTGTTGCTGGCAGGAGCGGTGGAGTTGTTTGCAGCTGCTGTGGTGTTGCTGGCAGGAGCTGTGGTGTGGTGTTGCTGGCAGGAGCTGTGGTGTTGCTGGCAGGAGCTGTGGTGTTGCTGGCCGGAGCTGTGGTGTTGCTGGGAGGAGCTGTAGGGCATTGGGTACTCACGCAAAGCTGCAATAGAAGATGCACCATTTGCAATGGAACACACAGGAATCAAGGACTGGAATCATAAGAAGCTACAAGGCATGCTGCACGCATGTAGATGAGGGCATGCCTCAATCCTAGTTTAGAACACATCTGGCACCTGGCAAATGGGGATTCATCCATCTTACAATATGTATCGAATGACAGATAAAATATGTATTCAACCAGCAACGACTCAGTCGATTACCCTATCAGTGTCGCGCAGGGAATCGCGGAAGGAGATCCAGGGGTTGAGCCTGTAGAGGTCCAGCATGGTGGCTCCATGGGATGCCACCACCTGCTTGAAGTCCACCCTGCTGCCAATCTCTATCGTATTCTCACAGCTCGGCCTGGCCGCTGGGTCGCGCTCCACACAGAGAGAGCGGAACGCAAGCAAGGGAGAGGAGCAGCTAACACCGGTGTTGAGCTGCTGCAGAGTGTCCTTGGCGATGCCGAGAAACTTAGCCGCGGACGAGCATGTGTCAGCCTGCGGGAGTGGAAGGGAAGTGGAGAATGGTAGTGGGGGGGGGGGGGGGCGGGGGGGTTAAGAAGGAAAGAGGTGGTAAGAATAGCATGTAGGAGGAGTTGCTGGTTGAATAGCATGTGGTCTTCCTGCTGCTTGGGGGAAGGATGGTCAGGGGGAGAGTGAAGGGTGAAGAGGAAGGACAGCATATGGTGGCACATGGTGGCACTGGTAGCACGTGGTGGCACTTGTAGCATGCCCGCTATCCATAAATGATGCATGGGATGCTCACAGGCTGGACTTAGTAGAAGCCAGAGCAAGCTGGCAGAAGCTCTTTCACTACGAGCTGACGATCCTGTGGAAGGAGAGCAGAGCAGTCGATACCCTGGAGGGGAAGGGGCAGTGAGAGAGGGAGAGGGTGAGAGAGATGGAGACAGAGGAGCAGAGGGTACAGAAAGAACAATGGATCGAGATGTTGAAACTGTGAACATTGTAAACTGAATGATTAGGTTCATTGGAGAGAAGGACAAGCATACATAGGTTTGGAAGAGAAGGTTGGAAGGGAAAAGGAGGGAGGTGGGATTTGGGGGAGTGGGCCAACCTATGGCCCATTGGATTGGGTTGACCACACTTGGGAAGTGGGCGAACCTATGGTCCATTGGGTTGGGTTGACCTTACTTGGGAAGTGGGCCAACCTATGGCCCATTGGGTTGGGTTGACCACACTTGGGAAGTGGGGTTAATCTATGGCCCAATGGGTTGGGTTGGCCCCACTTTGTGAAGTGGGGTACCCTATGGCCCATAGGGTTGCATTTAGGGGCTCCACCACAATTGGGTTGGATTGGCACCCCAAAATGCAAGACAACACCCAAAGTTGGGTATAGTCTCAACCCAACTGTACACCACAATTGGTGTACAGTCACAAGTGTTAGCATGCTAGAACATATGAATTCTAACACAACCCCTTAGCATGCGAACACAGGAAGGGAGAAACCCCTGAATCAAGGGCCGCCCGGGCGAGCAAGGCCGATGAGGCGGAGGAGAGCAGAGTGCGCAGGGCGAAGGAGAGCCTTGGTGAAGATGTCAGCCAAGTTGGCCTCGGCAGCGATCTTGCGGACAGCAAGAAGGCCGCGTTGGACGAGCTCGCGGATGAAGAAGTAGCGTAGTTCGATGTACTTGGAGCGGGCGTGGTAGACAGGGTCCTGAGTGAGGTGGATGGTGCTGGCATTGTCGCACCAGAGGGCGGGGTAGGGCTGAGGGGCGCCAAGCTCAGCAAGAAGAAAGCAGAGCCAGCGGGATTCCAGGGCGGCCATGGTGCCAGCGTAGAGCTCGGCCTCGCAGGTGGAGAGGGAAACGGAGGAGGAGCGTGTGGAGCGCCAGCTAACAAGGCCGCTGCCGAGGGTGAAGCCGTAGCCCTGAGAGGAGCAGCGGTCCGGCTGCGAGTCGGCTCAGGAGGAGTCGCTAAAGCCCGAAAGGAGGGGAGGGGAGGAGCCACCAAGAGTGAGGGCGTGGTCCTTGGTGCCGCGAAGGTAGCGGAGGACCCTCTTAGCAGCTTTTCAGTGCACCTCGCTGTGGCGACCAGTGCCAACAAAGCGAGCGAGCACGCTGATGGGGTAGGCGAGGTCGGGACGGGTGCACATCATAGCGTACATCTGCGACCCAACGAGCTCAGCATAAGGGTGAGTGGAGGAGGAGGGCGAGCTGGGTGGGGTAAGCTGGTGGCCAAAAGGGAGGGGGGTGGCCACGGGACTAGCCTGAGCCATCTCGAACTTCTCCAAGATCTGGCAGATTTAATGAGACTGGGAGAGGGTGATAGTGCGAGCAGGACGGTCGCGAGTGATAGCCATGCCAAGGTTGTGTGTGAGGTCGCCCAGGTCCTTGCACTTGAGGCGCTGCTGCAGCTGCTGCTTCATCTGCTCCATGTCAGCCTTGGAGTAAGCGAGCAGGATCATGTCATCCACATACACGAAAATGAAGAAGCGGCGAGGGGAGGAGCGAAGGAAGAGACTGACGTCAGAATGCGAGGCAGAGAAGCCGAGGGACCCCAGGGTGGCAGACAGCTTCGTGTGCCACTCCCTAGGCGCCTGCTTCAAGCCGTAGACAGGCCGACGCAGTTGCTGCTGACGGAGCGGGAAGTTGCTCGGTGCTGCTGCTGCTGCGCCCGCTGCTGCTGCTGCTGCTGCCCCTACTGCTGAGTCGGCTGTTGCTGCTGCTGCTGATGCTGACCCGTCTGCTGCTGCTGCTGCTGCTGCTGGCCCGGGTGCCGCCGCTGCTGCTGCTGGCCTGGCTGCCGCCGCCGCTGCTGCTGCTGCTGCTGCTGCTGCTGCTGCTGCTGCTGCTGCTGCTGCTGCTGCTGCTGCCCCTACTGCGGAACCGGCTGCTGCTGCCGCTGCTGCTGCCGCTGCTGAGGACCCGGCTGCTGTTGCTGCTGTTGCTGGCCTGGCCGTTGCAGAGAAGGGGGGGAGTGAGAGGAGGAGGGAAAGGGGGGAGGGGGCGCAGCAGAGTGGGCCGGGGAGGCGGGTGCGGCGGGGTCATAGACGTCAGCAGAGGAGGACGGAGGGAGTGGAGCTGTAACGGGGGGGAGGAGAGGTGGGAGGACAGTGTCAGTCCAGGCGAGGGGGCGAGAGGGAGGAGGGAGAGGGTCAGGAGGAGGAGTGGATTAGTAAGGGATGGACTTGTCGAAGACGACATCAATGCTGCGGATGAGGCGGTTGGTGGGAAGGTGAAGGAACAGGTAGTCTGGGGAGTCGCGATTGTGCCCGAGGTAGACGCACTCAAGGGCACGGGGGGCGAGCTTGCCCGCGGCACGGGATCGATCGGCCGGTGGGATGAGGACGAAGGACGTGCAGCCCCAAACGCGAAGGCCGGCAGCGTCAGGCTTGGCCTTAGACCAGAGTTCTGTGGGGGAGGAGGAGGGATGCTGAGGGTGGGAGCGGAGATTGAGGAAGAGGGCGGCATGGAGGAGGGCATAGCTCCAAAGGGAGGGAGGGGTGGAGGCGTGAGCAATGAGGCAACGGACAATTTTGGTGATTTCGCGGATGCGACTCTCAGCAATGCCATTTTGCTGAGGGGAGTGGGGAAGGATGGAGGTTGGCTGGATGCCATGAGTTTTGCAGAAGGTGGCAAGGGTGTTGTTGATGAACTCACCCCCACCGTCAGAGTGAAGGCGGCCAATGGGGCGTTTGAAGTGATTGTGGCACTGCTCAGCCCAGTTGATGACAACAGCCGGCACCTGGTCTTTGGTGTGAAGGAAAAAGACAGTGGAGTACCGACTGTGGTCGTCAACGAGGAAGAGCATGTACTGGTGCCCCTGACGGGAGAGGATGGGATAGGGACCCCAGAGATCCATGTGAACAAGGTCAATGGGGGCGGCAACAAAGGTGGGATGGCTGTGATGGGGGGACTGCTTGAGCTTGCCATGAATGCATGATGGGCATGGGGGAGCAGGAGAGGAGGGGAGGGGAGGTAAGGTGGGAGGGAGGCTGTGAAGGAGGCGAGAGGTGACAGTGGTGCGAAGTGCGGCGAAGTTGGGATGGCCGAGTATGTGATGCAGAATGACTGCTGGGTGGGAGAGGGCAGTAGAGGAGGAGGGGGAGGGGGTGGAAGAAGAGGTGGGGAGGGAGGAGGAGGGAAGTGAAGTAGGGGAGGGGGATACCTGAGGGGGAGGGAGAGGGGGAGGAGGACCGGTGGAAGTACCAGCACGAGTGGTAATATGAAAGAAAGAGGGACGGGGTGTGCGGAGCGTGTAAAGGCGAGTGCGAGGGCAAAGGGGAATGCGCAGAAGGAAGCGACCAGAGGAGGTTTGGTAGAGATCACAGTAATGAGCAAAACCAGGGTAAATGGCGGTAATGCCGACACCTTGGAGCTCTCGGTGAGAGAGGAGGTTGTTGCGAAGGGTGGGGATGTGGAGACCTGTGACCCTACCGGGGGGGAAAGCGGTGCAAGGGAGGGTGGAGAGGTGAGTTCATGGGATGGAGAAGCTGGAGTCAGCACCATGAACCTGGGTGGGAAGTGGGAGGGGGGTGAGGGTGCCAGCGTTTTTGAGTGCGGTTTCTGTGGCCCCACTGTCAAGGACAAAGTCCAAGGTGGGGGAGGAAGGAAGGGGAGGTGACACGGGGTACTGGAATGACGTTTCATTGATAGCAGAGGGATACATGGAAGCGACAGATGGTGCAGCAGCAACATGACCAAGGAAACTGTTGGATGCACGTCATTCTGAGTGCATGTCATCCTAACGTCCTGCCGAGTGCTCGTGCTATTCATGCGTGCATTGTTTGCATGAGCATTTGTCATTATGCATGGCTGTTGGATTTTACCATCTCTGTGTTTTCTCCAAGTTTAAATGCTTGATCATGCAGGAGAAATCCAGAGCTTTCCAACGATACCAAGATCGCCTTATTCTGACCAAGATCGCCCAAGTTACAAGATTTCCAAGACTTGGATTTCTTATTACCTTTTAAGGTTATATCTAATTTGGGTGATTACTTGGGACATGACTATAAAGGGATCTTTGGTTGGGTGGTTAGGGAAGGCAACTTTGACTTTTGGATTGGGGTGGCTAGAAGTTTCTAGCATGGGTTGCAAATGTTGCAACACCTAGGCAAAATCCAACTAGATTGGATTTTGCATGTGACACCTCAAGGACCTCATGATGAGGGTTGCATCCTTGCTGCTAGGAAGGTTCCTACCATCCTTCCCTAGCTCTTGGAGAACCCCTTCCCTCTCATGGTTCTCTTGGAGTCCCCAACTCCAACATCCTATGCCTTAATGTTTGTACTTCCTCTACTATTCTAGTCATGCGGTTGCTGGACGTTTTTACTTGGTTCTCACTCTATAGACCATCTTAACGATTGATTCAACTTTGAGATGGTAGCTTAGGCTAAGGCGCACAATCCTACCGAGCGGATTTGCGTTTAGTTGAGAATTGAGTTCGTCGTAAGCTCTCAAAGCGACGGATCCTGAACAACAAGTGGTATCAGAGCGGGTAGTCGACTTTGAGACGACGAATCGTCGTGACTTCTCAACCAATGATGACGAGTGAGACCAGTTTCTGGTCGCTCTGCTTGCAAACTTTCGATTGGTGGTCGAACCGCGTTCTAATTCGAAGTATCCAGTCCGCGACGGCGTTTTTTGTAGAATGAAAACTTCTGGCAGAATTCTCTCCAAACGATTTCTCAAGTTTCCACCGTTCATAAGGCCTCAATATGACTGTAACGGACTCTAGAGGTGCTAATGGCGAGATGGCTGGAGCTAGAGAGGCTGGAGAGCAGGGGGGAGTTGCTGGTGGTGGAGTGGGGACTCACCAACCAGCCAACCCTATGCTACCTACTTCTTCTACACCATCTCATACTACCGTGGATCCTATGAAAGCTTTCTCTATTGAGAAATTCATGGGGGAGGACTACGAGCACTGGAGTTTCCGCATGAGGCTGATGTATACCCAATACAAGCTATTGGATTTGGTGGAGGGGAAGGAGAAGATGCCGGAGGCCGCAGAGCTGAAAGGAGCATGGATGAAGCGATCGTTCGACGCGTACATGCTCATGGTGCAAGCGGTTGGCGGACGACAACTTGACCACATCAAGGACCTCTTAGGTGATCCATAGTGTGGCCCCAAGGCTTGGAGGAAGCTTCTGGATGTGCACTCACCGACACATGCT